TTGATTAATTAAAATGTTTTTTTCTTAAAAAAAACTTGGTAAATTGATAATATGATAAATGATTTATTAAGATTGAAGTAGATAATGTCATTATATTGTCTATTTTGCTTTTTGTTTTTTGTTTAAAATTTTATAACTTGACTGTGAAATTGTTTATTTTCTTTTACTATATTATTTTTCAGTTTAGTAATATTCTTCTATTTCATATAATACAAATTAAAATAATCAAAATTTTTATTTCTTTAAACAATTAATTTAAAACAAATTAATCCATACAATAAATTAATAAAAATTAATTTAAATATGCGAGATCTATTTTATAGAGAATACGACAAAAACTAAAATTGGAAAATAAGTGAAAAGTGAAAAAAATATATATATTTTAAGTAGAATTGGAATACAAAGAACGACTGAACTGTGAATAAGTTTCGTTTAAGTTGAGAAAACACATTACTTCCCGCTCCTATAATTTAATTAAAAGCTTTTGTTTTCTCAAATTTTGTTTAATAAGCTAATTATTTTTAAGAGTTTTCATGAAAAGCTTTTAAGTCATATTTGGTTAAATTTCTTTTTAAGCATTGATAAAAGAAGAAAATAAGTAATTTATCTAAATTAATAATTATAACTTTAATATAACCTACCTACCCTTCTATAAAGAAAATACGTTAAAAAAACGATAAATCAGTACTTTTGACGCTTCTGAGTTCATCGTAAGTTCAGAAGATCAGGTGTCCATTTTAGCTTCTCTCCTAATCAAAAGGTAGAAAAAATTGTTGGTTCCTTTTTTTTTTAATTTTTTGATGAGGCAGAAAAAATTGTAGGTTCTTGAGTATCCACGTATCAGCATGCTATCCACCCATTCCATGCCCTTTTACCTTAATTATTAAGATTTTTTTAAGTAGATATTATTATTGTAAATTATCATTTCTTACATATACACTAACATACATGTAAATAAAACTTATTTTAGTTAAAATAAAAACTATTTTTAATCTTTATTACGTAAAAGGATTCCTGTTTAATTAACTTAAAAAAAAACCGTAAAATATATAATAAAATACACAAGTTGAAATTCTATAACATACCTCATTTTATTTTACTTTTTTTTGTGTGAGACCCTCAGTCTTTCCCCTCTCTCCCTCTCAACATTTCACTAGTAGCCTTCCTTCTTCCTCTCATTCTTTCTCTCCCACTCACTTGGACTTGTTCATTCTTTTATTTTGGTAGCCGTAGGAGCTGTGTAAAGGTGCGGGAATGAAGCTGAAGCGCGGACTCTTCCTCCTCCGTTCATCATTTTCTCCATTCGTTTTCTCCTTTCTCCTTCCCGGAAGCTTGGAACTTCTCCTCTGAGGTAAGAGAAGCTAGATTCTCGCTGTTTTTGGCTGTAACTGAGTCTAGAAAATCATTTGTTGTTGGATAATTGATAGTTTTTGGCTGAAATTGCTGAAGATGGGGTTTCGGGATTTTCCGGGGTTTGGTGAAAATTTGGTGATCTTTCCTTGTTTGTGGTTGCATGTTGAAAAAGTTGGTATTTTTGGGTTGTATGATGAAAATGTGATGTTTTGGACCGATTGCATGTGCCTGGGGTGTTGATTTTGCAGGTTTTGGGTGAAATTTTCGAACTGGGGAGGGTTCCTATTTGAATTTGAGCCGGGCGCAGTTCTTCGCGCCGGGCGTGAGTTCAAAGGGGGAATCCCTGAGTGAAACGCGCCGGGCTCGGGGAGAACCACGCCGGGCGCAATAGACCCCTGAAAGTCTCTGGTTGAGAATTGCGCCGGGCTCGCTTTTAATTCGCCGAGCGCGAATTTGATTTTCAGAATTTGACTTTAGAGTATTCATGAAAGTTGTAGCCTTGGATGTTAGCTTTCCAATGGCGCTGGAATCACTCAAAAAGGAGTTTTAGAACTCCAGATATGGCCGTTTGAGTGAAGAGGGGTTAAGCTGCCAGCATTACTTATAGCTGTTGCGGTTTTTATCAGTTTTAACAAGGTAGATGAAGGAATTAGGACTTGGTGTCTTCAAGAGAGTTGTAGTAAATCTTCTTATCTTTCATATGAGATAGGGATGAGTGTGGTATGAGTAGTATAACTCCTAATGTTCTATTTTCTGTGAAGGTTGCCATTCCACATTTCGTGATTTGGTTAGGTTGAAAGTTGTTCTAAGTACTTAGGTTGATTGGTGTTGTTTGGGTGGGTAATTTGACAAGATAGATGAGTTATAAACAAGGTGGATGAGCTGTATTATGTGTAGAATATGTTGTATGTCGTGTATGCTATTAATGAGGTAACACCACGATGTAATAGATTTATATTGTCGTGCTGAGTTGGGCTGACATGGATGATTTTCATGTTGAATTAAAATATTGTTGTACTATAGACTGTTGAGCTGAGTTGTGAGTAGTAAGTTGTGTTGTATACTACCTAGCTATGCGGGATTCTGATATTGGTGTACTGCGCTGAGCGCGGCCCTTGTCGCGTTGGGCGTGAGACTCCTTGGGAGTCTCTGCCTTGTGGGTGCCGGGCGCAATTGGTATTGTGCCAGGTGCGAGTGAGCCTTGAGCTCTCTGGATGGGTTCCGCCAGGCGTGGGCGTGCTTGCGCTGGGCGCGCTGGCCCCCTGGTGCTCTCTGGTTGCACTGTGTTGGGCGCAACCACGAGTGCGCTGGGCGCGGAGATGTGACTTCATTAATGGATGTTAGAGGTTATTTATGTTCAGTTCAAGTAAAAGCTGTTGATTATAATTTGATGACTTGTGGATAACGCTGCTTGTTGATGTTGAGTTGTGCCAGTTGTAAATTGTTGTAAGTTGCTATGTTGAGTTGTATCAGTTGTAAATTATTGTACGTTGATATGTTGTATTGTACCAGTTGTATACTGTCGTAAGTTGATATGTTGAGCTGTATCAGTTGTATATTGTTGTGAGATTGATTTGTTGTGTTGTACTGTGTGTTGATAATGGCTGTGTGGGCCAAAAGGCTGAGGTGTGTAGGCCGAAAGGCTGAGGTGTGGAAGGAGATCTCCGAGTTGATATGCGTGACGACGCATTGTGTGCTTTCTGATTATGTTGTAAAATCAATGAGTGGTATACTGATGATGTGAGATGTGGGCTGTTATTGCTGAATGTTGTGGTATATTGAGTTAATGTTGTTGAGCTGGTTGATGTGCGGAAAACTATAGTTATATTTTTCTTATTATTTAATTACATATTTATATATTATGTTATTTCCTTTCACTAGCTTACCTTTGTTGTTTCCATGTGGTTTGGACTGCGATGATCATACTATGTATGGGAGCAGAGCAGGGATAGGTTGGTGGCTAGTAGTGAGTTTGCAGCTGGCAGGCGGAGCTAATCCTTGTTGATGCTTGTTGTTTCAGCTACTTGGTGTAGTAGTTTCGGATGTATTCTTGTACATTTTGAATCTAGTCAGACTTGGACATGTATATATGTATATTCTAGACACTATATGTATACACTTGTTCTTTTCTGTCCGGTTTCAAGTGTACGGTGTAGTGTGTAGTGACCAGCCGGGTCGTTACATTTTGCCCATTGCCTTACCATGATGTATTTATGATCTCTTTATCCCCCCCAAAAATGTATTAGGGTATTTAAAAAGAAAATGGATTTATATGTATAGAATAGTTGCACGTCGCCATGTTCCAGTGTCAGCATAAAATTTAGGTTAAAATTCTTATTTGGTCCCTTATAATATTTTTTTATTTCAATTTATTAGTCTCATTTTAATTTTTGGTTTTAATTTAGTCTCTAATAATTTAAATTATTGCAATCTGGGACTTCCGTCTAAATGATTTAAATGGAGTTAACTGTTAGTCAGGTGGATGCTAAATTTCATGAATACACCTGAAACCAAAACGGCCCGTTCTGAAACTAAAACGGCTTGTTCTGAAACCAGAACGACCCGTTCTGCTTGCACATGTTATGTGTTAATTTTGCAACTAGAACAGGTCATTCCAAATGCAAATTTAGCACACCATGATTGCATCAGAATGAGCTGTTCTGAAACCAGAGCGGGCCGTTCTGGATTCAGAACAACCCGTTCCAGAATGCCAACTTCATGCATGCGTTGCCCAAAATGCCGCAATGTGATTCAAAAATTGAAAATAAAAATTCATAACATATCATAAATTCAAAGACAGAAACATGGTTCAGAAACTGAAAACAAAAATTCAGAATATAACATATACTAAAAAAGTTCAAAGAAATTACTGAGAAAGGAAATCATCTGGGTAACGTTAGAGGGAAACCCTAAACCACAAAAATTCAGGTTGTACCTCCTCAAGAACAGGTTGTTATTGTTGGGGTACATCGTCAATGACTTCAAGGGGAAACATCGTTTCATTTCATCCTTGACTGTATAGTGTCAATTTGGTAGTAAGTGGTTCACTCTAGTTTGACTAACAATGAAATAAAACCTGCTACCATTGTCCTTAGTGATACACTGCATCGTCCTTAATGATACACTGTATAGCCCAAATGTTTAGCATTTGAAGTTATCAATCCCCATTGACAATATATATTACCAAATCTAGTGTTTGAAATGCTCTGTATCTTAGGTCTTTTTCCTTACACGATTCACAACCGTGAACTATAGTTATCGATTATTCTAGAACCAGAACGGCCCGTTCTGGTAGCACTCTTGGTATGTTAATTTTGTACCTAGAACGGGTCGTTCTGATTCCAGGTGTATTCAAGAAATTTGGCATGCATCTACATGACATCCACCTAGCATCCACGTGACCAATAGTTAACTCCATTTAAATCATTTGGATATAAGTCCCAAATTACAATAATTTAAATTATTGGAGACTAAATTAAAATAAAAAATTAAAATGAGATTAAATTAAAATAAAAAAATTATTATAAAGAATCAAATAAAGGTTTTAACCTAAAATTTATTAGGACCACAATTAATATTGTTACTTCAAATGAGATGTTTGATAATAAGTCTCTCTCTCATTATATCAGTTTGTTCGCTTGTGCCGAAGCTGTCATGCAACCAGAGTAACCTGTGACATTCATGTCACGCCAACACTTTGATATAAAAGAAACATTTCACTGCCATTGTTTTAGTTAGCACAACCTCTTTAGCCAAATCAGAAAGATGGAGGGAGAACTGAAGCAGAAGCTGCTGAAGAGTGCATTAGAAGAAGAAGAGGAGGAACTAACACTAGTGAAGAGGGTGTGGAACGAGAGCAAGGTGATGTGGGTGGTGGCAGCACCAGGCATTTTCAGTAGATTCTCCACCTTTGGTCTCAATGTTATAAGCCAAGCATTTATTGGTCATATTGGTTCAAGGGAACTCGCTGGCTTTGCTCTTGTCTTCACTGTTCTCGTTAGGTTCGCCAATGGTATTCTGGTATGTTTTTATTCACTCTCCTTCCATTATCTATATTATTAGCCAAATCTTCATCCAAAATTAGATCTCTGTGTTACAAAAATCTTGTACTATCTTTGAAAATTATATCAATTAATATTCAAAGATACTCTTCAGAGAGAGGTCTTTTGCTTCATTCCTGTAAAAAAATATCCCTTGGAAAGGAGTTTACCTATGTCACTTTTTAGTTTTCTCTAAATTGTGAAGTTCCCTTCCCTCTTCCCAGTTTTATCCATCAAAATAAAATCTTTGAAAATTATAACTATATTTTTCTCATACTTATAATTATATTATAAATCTGAATTCTTAAATGTTGAATTAGAATTTTTTTTTGGAGTTATTCCTTAAATAACAATATTTGCAGGAGTTATTTCTGAAAAAAGAATCATCACAATATAAATCATTTATTGTAAATTTAAAATACAGCTCATATGTTCATCAATATTTTATTTATTATAAATTTTAATTATATCGATATAAGAAATTATTTTGTCCATTGTGCAATCTAAAACACTAATTAGTTTTAAAATGTTAGACAAATTAAAGTGTGTTTAGTTCGATTCCATTTTTTTAGATAAATGATTTTTTTGAAGTTAGAATTTAAAAATAAGACCTTTTTAAGAAATAAATTAGTAGAAAATGCTTAGCGGTTCATAAGAGTTGACTAGTGGTTCCTTTGGTATCAAGTAAAATAGCATAGAAATAGGGTGAGGAGAAGAGATGGGTTTCGACTTTTGAGACATGTTTGGTACGTAGGACGGTAGGAGTGAAATATAATGAAGGAAAAACAGAAAGTTAGGGTACACACGGTGGTCCTACAATCAATTATTATTTAAATTTTGATTTTTTTTTCTTCAAAATTCTTAAATTGAATACTCTTATTTCTACTTTTTCCACTGTTTGTATTCAATTTATTTCTTTCTTTTTATTGTCATTTATCCTATTTTTCAACTGTTTTTTTTTCATTCAAACACTCTAAAAGACATAGAGAGAATGAGAAAGAGTAGAGAGGGGGTGTGAGAGGGAAAAGCTACAATTATAAGAAAATTATACTTGACTTAACTTATTTTACTTACAATAAAATTATCATACAACGAAATATATTTTATAGGAACTTAATATATATTATTAAAAATTACTTTTACACATTCAATAAATATAATATATATTAGTATATTATTAAAAAATATAAATATAAATTATAATAATATATAAAATATATCATTAATTATCATTAAAATTATGTATAATTATATATCAAATAAATATATTATATTTATAGTGGTACTTTTTATAAATTATATATAATAATTTTTATAACGTTTAAAGAGATGAACTAGGAATAAAAAGGTCAAATAAATTTTTTTAAGAAGAACTTAATATAAAATAATATTATTGTGAGTAATTATATACACTACAACTCCCTTAAAATATATATATATATATATATATATATATATATATATATCCGCAACAATTCATAACAATGTATATAGAGAGTGCAAATAAAGATTAAAGGTGCGAGAGAGAGAGAAAAAAGTAAACTACAATTTTTCGAAACCTATGTTTGACTTCACGTCTTTTAAAGATACGTGGAATCTGGTAAAAAAAAATAAAAAAGGCTATAATACACTACTTTATGAATAATTTAATATGAAATAATATTGTTTTTTTCTTTTAGTAATTATACACAGTATAACAATATATATAACATTGTTTTTATCTATCTGTTATTAATAAGCATAATAAATAATATAATGAAAAAAGATAGACATAAAAAATGATGTTGTATATTTGTTATATAATTTGTTGTACAAGTATTATTTTATTATTACTTTTTATTAGGTGAAAGTTTCCATTTTAAAAAAGGTATTGTGTCCTCAATAAATTTATGTTGATAAATACAAGGCTTACTCTCCAATATTTTATTTTAACTAATAGTTTTCATACACACACAACTAATGTTATATCGTAATACCTTTCACAAACGCACACACATATCAACATATAAAATGACTTGCATGATAATGTTATTATTATCACTAATTATCTACGGTCAACCCACACATAACAACAACAATATAAAATGGATTGCATGATAATGTTATTTGTATCTCTAATTATCTACTTTTATAAATGAATACTTATTTATAACAACCATATAAAATGACTTGTATGATAATGATAATGTTATCTTTATCATTAATTATCTACTTTTATAGATAAATACTTATTTATTGAATTTTATTTCTGTGCATTGTTGATGTAAAAAAATATATTATCAACTTATTAATTAGAAAATCATCGTTTAGTTTGACTTTGAATATAGTTATAATATGAAATATAATTGATTTGATTGATAATGGTAAACATCTATCAAAAGAATCTAAACGACCCTTTCCAATTTCAGAAAGGATCTTTATATAATGTGATTAAGAAAAAATAGAGACCTTTGTCCTCTCATACTTCATCAATGAGTAAATTAAAGATTTCCTGAATTTTGTTTTTGGTTTGTATTAATCTATATTGGGGTTATAGTAGTGATTTTAATGGGTAATGAATAAGGAGTTGCAAGAAAGAAATACATTAAATTGGCTCCAAATGAAATGAGTAGTGAAGCTTGTGGCATGCTATGACAATATTCAAAATATGCTTTCCAAACATATATTGGCTCCACTTTGTTTTTGCAATTACAATAATAATAAAAAAATGATATAGTAATAACACAATTGTTTGTGTGTTTATTTAATTACAAATCTAGTTGGGAATGGCTAGTGCACTGTCAACACTTTGCGGACAAGCATACGGTGCTAAAGAATATGGCATGATGGGAGTGTATCTTCAAAAATCATGGATAGTTTTGTTCTTAACTGCAACCTGTCTTCTTCCGCTATTCATCTTCACAAGTCCAATTTTGATGTTGTTAGGCCAAGATGAAAGTATAGCACAAATGGCAGGAATCATTTCTAGTTGGTCAATTCCTATTTTATTTGCTTTTATTGTCTCGTTCACTTGCCAGATGTTTCTGCAATCTCAAAGCAAGAATACCATCATTGCATTCTTGGCCGGTTTCTCAATAATTATTCATTTGTTCCTCTCTTGGCTATTGACAATAAAATTCAAGTTCGAAATTGCTGGTGCAATGACTTCAATGAGTTTGGCATTCTGGATTCCTAATATTGGTCAACTAATTTTTATTACATGTGGTTGGTGCTCTGATACATGGAAAGGTTTCTCATTTTTAGCGTTCAAAGATCTTTGGCCTGTTGTCAAGCTTTCCCTTTCATCTGGTGTCATGTTATGGTGAGCTTTTTTCTTTATCAGCTAATTGATTGAGCTCTTTAGAAATGTCATGATAGCCAGATAAATTTGAATTTTCTTCATGACTATTGTAGAACACAAAAGTTTTGATCATCTAGATTTCTATTTATGCAATTTATTCTTAAGATAAATAATCATAAATGTAGTTATATATTTGTATACTAGATTTTAATCTTTTAGCAACATTTTCTTGTTTATATTTGTTAAAATGTTACTATATATTAAATAAATATTATTTTGTAACACTTTTTTGAAAAATGTCATTATAGATAGAGTAACATTTTTTATTTCAATATTATTCTTTTTAATTGTTTTCAAAATCAAAGTCCCATATCGAATAAATTTTTTTTACATAAGTTATTTTGCAACATTTTTTTGAAAAATGTTACTATAATTGCTTTTAAAATCAAAGTCCCACATCGAGTAAAAAAAAAGTATATTTCTCTTATATCTAATTGTAACTCATAATTAAAGTCCCACATCGAATAGATTAATGATTTATGAAGAGTATATATATTTATATAGTTATATTTAAGATAAATAAAATTTGATATTCTATATATAATTAGTGGTGACTAACTAAAAATGTATTTTCCTAAAAACTTAAGGAACTCTTAGAAGTTTAGGAAACATAAAAATATAATAATTGATAGTAATATTTAAATTAAAATTAATTTTTATTTTATAAGATTAACAAAATATTGGTAACATCATTAAAATGTTACAAAAAATTATTAAAATGTTACAAAAATACTACTTTGGTAACATTTAAAAAATGTTACCTAATTATGCAAAAATGTTATTAAAAGTCTTTACAACATGGACTATATACAACATTTGATAATATGTTGCTAAAACAAATTAGCAACATTTATACATAATTAAGTAACATTTTTCAAATATTGCTAAATACCATTTGTGTTGTAGTGCTAACTTGAAGCTATGCTATATTTCACAGTCTTGAGCTCTGGTACAACACAATATTGGTTCTTTTAACGGGCAACATGAAAAATGCAGAGGTCCAAATTGATGCTTTATCTATATGGTATTTTTTTACTGTTTTCTCACATTCCATTTTTAGAATTTGAGCAGTACTAACAACACACTCCTTTTTGTGTGTTTTGTAAGCATTATAATTATTACAAGATGAAATTTATTTATATTCATGACATTTTGAGTAATACGGTAATTATTTCCTTAGTTTCTATGGATTTAAATCAATAATAAAGTATGTATTAAAAAAAATTGTTATTATGCACAAATTTATGTATTGTATCCACTTGTGTCACATAGTTGTATTGGCCTAATACATAGAAAAAATTCCTCTTTGGTTGCTGAAGATCAAATTTCATTCTTTTACAGCCTCAACATCAATGGATGGGAAATGATGATATCACTTGGTTTCATGGCTGCTGTGAGGTAATCACATTATTTTTTATTTGTATTATATGAATTACAAACGCACATGTGCACATACACAAATCTAGTAACTTTTCATTTGTTGTTCGTTTACCATGGAATCTTAACGTTATCTTTCCTCATTTACAGTGTTCGAGTGGCAAATGAGCTTGGAAAAGGAAGCTCCAAAGCTGCAAAATTCTCGATAGTTGTGACAGTGCTTACATCTTTTGCAATTGGATTCGTTCTCTTCTTATTTTTCTTATTTTTTAGAGAAAGACTTGCTTACATATTTACCTCAAATAAAGATGTCGCTAATGCTGTTGGAGATTTGTCACCTTTGTTGGCAATTTCTATTCTACTAAATAGTGTCCAACCTGTACTCTCAGGTAAATTTTAAACAACACATTTGGTCCTTAAATTGGTTTAAGACTGAGTCTTGGTATTTTTCATATGACAAGCAAAGTATTGATCCTTAAATTGATTTCAACAGGAGTTGCTATTGGAGCAGGGTGGCAAAGCATTGTAGCATATGTGAACATAGGGTGTTATTACATCATAGGTATCCCTGTAGGAGTTGTGCTTGGTAATGTTTTCCATTTGCAAGTCAAGGTTGGTACTCTTCTCATTCCCAAGTTGATTTTGGTCAGTGTTTGAGTGATTCATCTATTAATTGGACAATTTTTTTTCCCTTCTTTTGTAGGGTATATGGATCGGAATGTTGTTTGGAACATTTATTCAAACTTTGATGCTAATTATAATCACCTACAAAACTAATTGGGATGAGCAGGTATTTGATTCATTACCTCTTATTATTTCTTAGTTCTAGATTCTCTAAGAAAATATTATAGTTATATATATGACTGGATGAATTATGTCACTTGCAGGTAACTATAGCTCGTAATCGTATTAATAAGTGGTCGAAAGTGGACCCTGATCATGAAACAATTACCTCAGATAATTAGTTTCATGGTCCTTCGAGATTTATTTCTTTAAATTCAAAATTAGTAAATCTAACTGCGGATTTATTAATTTATTGTAATATTTTGTCTGGTGTTAGTGTTATATATACATCCAAATCAACTATCAATTTATATATTATAAATAGAAGTTTTTGTCATGTGACATTACTATTTTATTTTTTTTGCCTAAAATATTTCGTCATTTTCCATTTTTAATTCATAAAATAATATTATTATATTTAATTATTATAATTAACATGATTATATATGACAGGTTTACATTATTATTAAACTAATGAATTGAAGCATTTTCCATTTTCCAAAAGCTCAGACAACATCCAAATATGTTTAGGCTCTTCCATCACCTTGAGCTGAGATAGAATCTTCCACATAAACTCACATTGATGATGAAAACAACCGTTGTGTTTACTACGATGAGCCTTTGCTTCAAGTGGTCGTGGATGGTCATCCTACAAACCAAGCCACTTGGCAACCCTACCAATAAGCTTCCCTTGCTTAGCCCTAAAAGATATTTGAGGTACAAGGTAGGAATTTCTCTGAAAAAGAATAGAAAAACCTTTATGAATGTTGTCATTAGGGGTGAGCAGCATTCCCATACTGACCCGTAACCGAAAGAACCAAAAAAAAAAAAAAGAATAAAAATGGGTGGGTTCAAATGGATTTTTAGTTTAAACGGGTTAAAAAAATGGGTTAAAATGGGTAATTTTGGTCGGGCTCGGTTTGAGTTTTTTGACTCATAAAAAACCAAACCCGACCGTGCAAACAAAAAAGCCCAACGAAATTTCGAGCCCAAAATAATAATGAATTGAGACCCAGCCCAAATTTAGTAACTTCTTAACCTAATAACCTTTCCTTAATTCATTTGTTCTGAAACCCTAGTGCCGCACCGCTTCCTTTCCATCCCGAGAGCTCGAGAGTTTCGCTCTACTTCGTTTCACAGAATCGTTATCCTTCAATGGCTCAGTGAGTCCATGCGATTTTAGATTGCTTCACTGATAAGATGTAGCAAGTCATGACCTCGTCTTAGTATCTCACTCAAAAACGAAAAGGTATTTTTTGTTGAGCAAGAACATGTTTGATTGCTTGTTTCTAACTTTGTATCTTTAAATAATTGCACTTTTGATGTTGAATCGTGTTTCTGGTTTATTTACTTTGAATGTTATTAGGTCGGTTTTGGTGGTTGAAATCTATTGCACATGAGAGTAGAGCCATACCTTTTGAGAATAACACTACATTACGGTAAGTCGGTAATAGTTGAGTTAGCGAGAATCATGAAACATGATTAGAACCTTTTGAGCTTTTTTTATTTTTGGTTTTTGATAATGAGTTTTTGAAGCTAACCATATGTTCTTTGTCTTTCCTCCATAGGCACAGAGGATAAGGAAGGGCTAATCCAGTGAAACAGTCTCATAAACGAGCTATTAAAAAGTTAAGAAGAAAAGGTAATTATTTTTAGCATTTCATAAATTTAACTTTTAAGAATATTTAATTATATTAGCATTTCTTTTGCATATAGTGATTTTATATTTTGTGATCTAGCCTGTAGTGCAGTTATACTTGTTAACTATTTTGTGATTTAACTTATAGCATAATGTTCCCTTATTTTGCATGCTTAATTGTTATTTCATTTGATAGGACTATGATCCTTTTTTCTGCATGTTCTACTATTATTTCAGTTCTACTTATGTGTAGATGTTATTTTTTTATATGTATATTGTCTAATAAGTTTAATCATTCCCTACTTCTCATGGAGTCTTTTTCATAAATTAATTTGATAAAAGTCATACAATTTTAACACTAAATAAAGAATTCACTATAACAATTTAATAAAAAAAAAATTGTAGTTGGAAGTTATTGACCAAGACTTCTTCATTAAATTAGTGATGGAGCAGTCTTGTTAGAACCTGCCAACTACGACTGATAATCTAATTCAAGCTACTGTTGAAACTAATAATCCCCCTCAAGCTCATACTGCAGCTCCAACCAAAGTTGCAGGACTTAACTCAAGTCATCCTCTTCCATCAAAATCTAAGAAGAGGAAACCCAATGCTAATGGCCCACGCAAGACATTAATTGTGTGGGAACACTTTATAGTATTGCCTGAAACTGAAGTTAAAGAACCCATAACAGCTTGTAAATACTATAACCACAGGTATTTATGTGATCCCAAAATATATGGCACATCTAATATGCTCCACCATCTTACAAAATGTCAAAAATATGTTGGATCTCTTTGTCACAATCCTAGTCAAACAGTGCTTACCTTTGGCCTTGGAAAGAGTAGGGAAAAATCTAATTTAGTACCAGCTAGCCATAGGTTCAATGTTGAGGCTTGTAGGAAAGCTTTAGCTAACTTTGTCATTGTAGATGAACAACCATTTAAGGTAGTTTAAGGAGAAGGTTTTAAATATCTGTGCAAACAATTACAACCCCAATTTATTGTTGTTTCAAGGCATACAGTGGCTCGAGATTGCTTTCAACTATATTTAGATGAAAAATTAAGGTTGAAGGCATTCTTTAAGTCTAATTGTAGTAGGGTTGCTTTGACTAGTGATTGTTGGACCTCTATTCAAAATCTAAATTATTTAGCCCTCACTGCCCATTTTATAGACAATGAGTGGAAATACCAAAAGAGAATCATAAGTTTCTCTTTAGTGGCAAACCATAAAGGGGAAACTATAGGAAAATAGATTGAGGAGGCCTTGAAGGAATGGGGTCTAAGAAATATATGCACAATCACACTTGATAATGCAACTGCAAATAATGTGGTTGTTTCTTACTTGAAGAAATTTTTAAAAACATGGGTGGGTTAGTTCTTGATGGAGAGTTTTTCCACATGCGATGTTGTGCTCACATTTTGAACTTAGTAGTAAATGATGGTTTAAGAGAGTTGACAGATTCAATTGCTAGCATCCGCAATGTAGTAAGGTTTGTGAGGTCTTCGCCTCAAAGGCAAGCCAAGTTTAAAGAATGCATTGATTTTGCTGGTATTTCATCTCGTAATCTAGTTTGCCTTGATGTTCTGACGAGATGGAATTCTACTTACATCATGTTAGAAGTAGTAGAAAAATTTCAGCTTGCCTTTGAAAAGCTTGAGTTTGAGGACTCAAGTTATTTGGACTATTTTGGACTTGCTGGACCTCCTACTACTGAACATTGGGATAAAGCAAGAGATTTTGTTAAATTTCTTAAAATATTTTATGAGGCCACCAAAATTTTTTCATCATCTTTACATGTGACCATCCATATAGCATTCCATCAATTAGCAACAATATCTTGTGAGATTGAAAAGGCTTGTATGGAGAATAATTCTGATTTTCAGACTAGAGGTTGGGAAATGAGAAGAAAATATGACAAGTATTGGGGCAATGCATTGAATACTAATCAATTGTTGTATTTTGGTGTCATCTTGGACCCTCGATATAAGTTTAAGTATGTTGAATGGTCCTTTAATGACATGTATAAGTATGACCATCAGTTTGCAAATAACCTCTCTACTTCTGTCAAACAAAATCTAACAAGGATGTATAATTGGTATGTTGCTACCCATGAGCAACATCATAAACAAACACAGTCAGGTGTTGAACAATTTGGTAATTGTTCAACTGGAGGAATAACAAATCCTATTGAAATTCCTTGTCATATGGCTAGGAAATATGCCTTTAAGGCACATTTGAAAGAAAAAAGTTATCTTGACCAAAAAAATGAGCTTAAGACTTATTTGGATGAGGCAAATGTTGATGCTGATGATAATTTTGAGTTACTTTTACGGTGGAAACTGTAACATTGTTAAAAAAAAAAAAAAAAGGTTGATTTAGTAGCCCAGAACGGGCCGTTCCCAAACTGGAACGCCTTATTTCTTCTTCATCTCTATTGCACATTATCTCTAATGCTCTAAATTAGTAAAGAGAAAATACACTATATACTAACAGTGTATGCATCCAATTACAAAGTTTCATGTATGATAGGTTTGTTGACTTTTATATTAATTATCTTAAAAGTCATAATAGTAATGAGTGCTGATTGGTTGACAGAGTAACTAATAGTGTATAACCATTAAAATCTTAAGTAAATATTGTTCAACTTCTAACATCACCATGTTCGGTATCTACACAATACCTTTGTATTTTTTTAAACGCCAAGAGTGATTACAATCTTCTGATGCAGCATAATACTAGTTAAGCAAAATTGAAGACCCTTAAACCAAAAATATCAATAGAACTAACCTTGAAGGCTAGAACCCATGTCTGTTGCTAAACACCTAGCAATGGTAGCTGCTTGATCCAATGCTCTAAATTAGTAAAGAGAAAATACACTATATACTAACAGTGTATGCATCCAATTACAAAGTTTCATGTATGATAGGTTTGTTGACTTTTATATTAATTATCTTAAAAGTCATAATAGTAATGAGTTCTGATTGGTTGACAGAGTAACTAATAGTGTATAACCATTAAAATCTTAAGTAAATATTGTTCAACTTCTAACATCACCATGTTCGGTATCTACACAATACCTTTGTATTTTTTTAAACGCCAAGAGTGATTACAATCTTCTGATGCAGCATAATACTAGTTAAGCAAAATTGAAGACCCTTAAACCAAAAATATCAATAGAACTAACCTTGAAGGCTAGAACCCATGTCTGTTGCTAAACACCTAGCAATGGTAGCTGCTTGATCCAAGGAAGCACCAAGCAAGGGGTTGAAAACGTATGTGGTCCACAACACCAAGGTGAGGATGAGTTCCAGAGTGCACCTCAAAGTCAATATAAGGTGTTATGAATTATGTGAGTGACTATATGCTTAGCTTATGGTGTTGAAATCTGTTGGCAGGTTAACCCTGATGACATTGTGTTATTTATTTATTTTTTTTTCTGGGGGGTGGGGAAACATATAAGTTTACAAAGATGATTGACATTTCTATAATATCAGCATGTAAAGTAGTAATTATAAAACTAATCACGTACAAACAACAAAATATCCAAACAAATTGAAATTTGGGAGCTAAGAAGATTTAGCCATACATGATTCTTAGCCAAGTATGAATGGGGTTCAAGGAATTTTTTTCTCTCCATAATATTGGAGGATATTTGATTTTCCCATGTATATTAATCTAGAAGATTAACTCAAATTATTGATCCGGGCTGAACAGTTCACTGGTGATACCAAATTTGTAGAATAAAATGAGATTTTTTTAGGCAATCCATGGTGATAGAACTGATAGGCGACTACAGCCCACCACTGATCACATTTGGGGTGTGGTGAACTTCTATGTTTTTTGAGCTAAGGTTTTATATGCACAAGTATAATAATGTTTGTGGGTTCTCTAAATAGTCAGTTAGACACTACAGCCACTCTTCTTATATTCTGTTTGCACAAATTTTAGATACAGTGAATTTGCTTCTCTTTTGCCTTGGTATTTTTTTCAGTCAATGATTGTTTACATTAAACCTCTGTGTTCATCCTTATTTCTTCTTCATCTCTATTGCACATTATCTCTAATGCTCTAAATTAGTAAAGAGAAAATACACTATATACTAACAGTGTATGCATCCAATTACAAAGTTTCATGTATGATAGGTTTGTTGACTTTTATATTAATTATCTTAAAAGTCATAATAGTAATGAGTTCTGATTGGTTGACAGAGTAACTAATAGTGTATAACCATTAAAATCTTAAGTAAATATTGTTCAACTTCTAACATCACCATGTTCGGTATCTACACAATACCTTTGTATTTTTTTAAACGCCAAGAGTGATTACAATCTTCTGATGCAGCATAATACTAGTTAAGCAAAATTGAAGACCCTTAAACCAAAAATATCAATAGAACTAACCTTGAAGGCTAGAACCCATGTCTGTTGCTAAACACCTAGCAATGGTAGCTGCTTGATCCAAGGAAGCACCAAGCAAGGGGTTGAAAACGTATGTGGTCCACAACACCAAGGTGAGGATGAGTTCCAGAGTGCACCTCAAAGTCAATATAAGGTGTTATGAATTATGTGAGTGACTATATGCTTAGCTTATGGTGAAACAAAATTCATCTCGCCTCCCAATATTGTCAAATATGGCCAAAGATGTTTTTGCCACCCTTGTGTCAATAGTGGCATCTGAAAGCGTATTCAACACTGGTGGAAGAGTGTTAGATACCTTTAGAAGCTCCCTCAACCTAGAAATGGCTGAGGCATTAATCTGCTGCCAAAATTGGTTGAGACCTTGTTTGTTGCAATTTAAAGAGGTTAATCCAGTTGAAGAATTAGAAAGCTCTGAAAATATTGTAATAGGTAACATTTATTCTTTTCCCACTATCATTTATAATATTTTTATTTTTTTATTTTTTAATTTTTAGTTTTTTGCTACCAAGTTCCTAAGAATTTCAAATGGGAACTACTAGATCCCAAGGAGCTGGAGTTGTAGCATCAAGGGTTGGGATTGAAAATGGTGGAGTTGGATCATCATCTCAATCAAAGCCAGTGATTACTTGCTGAAAGTATATTCATTTATTTATTTTGTTATTTTCTTGCTTTTTTATTTTAGTTAAATATTTACTTATATACTTGTTTGTTATTTTGTTATTCTATATAGGTCCCTTGGCGTTATTTTTTTCTTATTTTGGTCTGTATCCACTAAAGATATATGGAGTCATTATTGTTTTTTTGGTATAACAGTACTACTCAATTACATTTTTTGGTAAGAAATTTTTTATTCTTTCATTTTCAAGATATGTACCATATTATATAATGACGACTTAATGTGTTAGCAAATAATTGGCAGAGAATCATCATTTGGGTGGTATCATTGCACTTCTCAGAATGCATAATAGATCCTTCTAAATTGCTTATCTCAATTTGGTTAGTTTTCAAAAGTATTTCCTTACTAATTTATCACATTACTATATTGTTGTCTATTTATTAAAGTTTTTTATTGAATTTTTTCTTGACTATTACCCTTTTTACTTGTGTAACATCCCAAATTTTATACTTTATATTTATGAAAATTATTTTTTTATATAGTTATTAATTAATAAAAAAGGGTTCTTTTATATAGAATATTTTAGAGATTTTAATGAATGATTATTATGTATTTTAAATATTTATGGAATTATTAACGGGATTTTATAATTAAAAATAATAAAATAATATTTTGGGCTTAAAGATGCCTATTGTTGTCAAGTTGATTGATGAGGTTCCACTTGGTGAATCCTCAATGAACACATTCAAATCCTTCTCGGTTCTTTGGAAATGTGGCAAGGAAGGAAGCTCCAAGAAGCATCAATGTTACCTAAGCTTGACCAAGCCAAGTCCGGAAGAAGAAAGGGATAACCTAGCTCTACAAAGAGAGGAGCTCAAGGAGGGTAGAGGTAGGTTATGAGTGACTTTCGGAGGAAGAGAGTTCAATGTGAGAAATCTCATTCATAAATCCAAAAGTGCTATAAGACTCGGCCATAGGAAGATTTATAGGTGAAATTAGGTTAAGGGTTTAAGTTGGGTTCACCTAGAGTTGTTTGTCCAAGGAACGGTGGTTAGCACTGACAAATTTGAAAAAGAGAAACTTTGAAAAAGAGAAACGTGATTGGCTGATAGGAATCCAAGCGGAATATGAAAAGGGTTTTGAAAATAAAAAAAATAAATAAAACCTCCATCTTCATGTTCTTCCTCCTATGTGGTCCACAACACCAAGGTGAGGATGAGTTCCAGAGTGCACCTCAAAGTCAATATAAGGTGTTATGAATTATGTGAGTGACTATATGCTTAGCTTATGGTGTTGAAATCTGTTGGCAGGTTAACCCTGATGACATTGTGTTATTTATTTATTTTTTTTTCTGGGGGGTGGGGGGGGATGGGTGGGGTGGGTGGGATATGAGTGACATGAACTTGGCTGATGCCAAGGCCAAGGTGTTTGCCATCGATCTGCAGAAGCAGTTGAGGCCTTACATGGAATCCATGGTTCCACTCCCTGGAATCTATGACCCGGATTTCATTGCTGCCAACCAGGAAGACCATGCCAACAACATCATCAAGGGCACTAAGAAAGAACAAGTTCAGCAAATCATTAAAGCCATTAAGTATGTCCTGCTTCAATCTACATACATGCTTTGTATTTGTTGCTTATATAATTGTACATATATTTGTTGCTATTCAGTTTCTAACTGTTGATTTGAACTCAAAGTTTAATGAAGCCACCAAGGTGGTAGGTTAAACCAATTCATTTAAAACTTATGATTTGGATTTTTTCAAATACTCATTTCATTACAGTATTTGATTTTGCAATTTGAAGTTGAAGCTACCGAGTCTAGTTTTCATTTACAAGTGTTCTAGTAAACTACAAATCAATAAATTCTAACATATTTTGAAGTGACTAATAGCTTTGACCTGATGTGTTCCTCCAGGGATTGATCTCAGTCTCATGATTGTAAAAGTTTCTATTTCGTACATCCTAATTAGTGTTTGTAGTTATTGTGAATTCATCTTTCGTGTCAACTGAACAGCTTTTTGCGGCTTTGAACATCAACAAAAGAAGTGCTGATCGGGACTTGGATGTGTATCGTACCCTGCTTTCAAAGTTGGTTCAAGCAAAAGAGCTGCTAAAGGAGTATATTGACAGGTAAACATCAAACCTATCAATTCCCTTCAATTGTTTTTCTGTGTTCTCATTACTTTTCATTTGAGATATAATAGGTGAATGTAATTCTTGTACTAGTATATGCGACAGATTTACAGTTATAACTTGCTTGTTCCTCAGCAAGGTTTTGATTCATTGAAATGATATTTTGCTTCAGGGAGAAGAAGAAACAAGAAGAAAGGGCTGAACCACAGAAGGCTAATGAGGCCATCACAAAATGTTTGGGACAACGATTGCCTTGTCTGTAGTTATGGCCTTCTGAAACAATCTCCTACTGAAGACTTATCCTTCACAATTTATTTTTGTTGATCTTTGAGTTGGATTAAGCAAAGTCGGAACTTCTATCATCTTAATTTAGCAGGATTTGAATCATCTAAAGACAAGAGTACACTTCAATGGATAAAGTATAATAATAACAATTGATTATCAATGATAGTGATTTTAATAAAACATGTGTAAAGTAAATTTGAAATTTATTATAATCTCAATCGTTGATTAAACAAAAATTATTATTATCTGCTTTATTCTATAGTGTGCAATTTAGAACATATCCTTGATTTTATATATACTTATTGTAAATTGTAAGCTCCGGTCATTGTGATCCACCTAAATCCTTGTTTCGCCAAACCCACTATTAGTTTATCCGTCCAACTCACCTTGTGGTCACAAATGTATTTTGTGGCCCTCAAACGCAAGTCTCAAAACATATGTTCTAGATATCACTATTTGTTTTGACATTTCAGGGTGTAACACCTTTCACATATCATTTTCATTGTTTAAATTTGCTATCATTAATCACAAATTTATCTTAGCGTGTGCACCATACTCTTATTATAATAATAATGTGTATGGTCTTCTGTTTCTTCCTTACCGAGACCAGTGATGAAATAGTCTTAGCACTATCACACGAGCAGCAGAATGCAAAGGTCAAGATTACTTTAAACTAGATATAGACCTCTGCTATACATGTGTGTCAGAAAATGGTAGAAGTCATACAATTTTTAGATAGTTGATAAGCCGTTTACTATTGTTCCTCTGAACTATAAAACAATAAATAAGTGTAGAATAAAGAGGGTAAAAAGAGCATAGATACTACTGACTTAGATTTTGTGCATATATCTATAAGTGAATTGGTGTTCATTTTTGTGCAGATATGTGTAGATGAATTCATATCTATCTTTCAATGAATGGTAGTCTTAGAAGGTTGTATTTCTACCAAAATCTTTACCGTAAGTGCCCATATTCTACCATAACCTAATTCATTTCTTCAATCTTTTAAAAATGTGACTAATTTACTTCAATTTTTTCATTTTAACTTAAACCATGTTACTATAATAGGTTTTCTAGAGACACCAAGCTTGCTCTACAAAGTACAAAGGATGTCTTGAACATTGTTGTGCATGATTTGGGATTGCTAGCATTTTTCTTCCTATTACTATGTTAAGCCAAATATAGATATTATGTATTTTGTTGTTGAGGGATCTATTGTGTGTCTTATTTTCCTTCAAAAACTATTGTTTTTTGGCCTATTAATATATTCAATTGGGCATTCAAAAAAATGTTGTTTTTTTAGCCCAATAATCTATTCAATTGGGCATGTAGTTCAGTAATTAATACTTGACAGTTGTAGTGGATGCATGATATGAATGTAATGATGACTTTATTAGTTATTTTTATGTTATTTATTTTAGTATTTTAAAAATAATTATAATATGTTTGGAGTTTCAATTAGTAGATGTTGGGCATCTTTAATTTTTTCTGTTGATATGCAAAAAACTTTATTTGAACCAATTAAATAGTTTAAAGTCTATTACACTCTTACCTGTAAAAAAACACCCGTTCAAACCGAAACCCGCTTAAATTAAAATTTATCTAAACCAATAAATAATGTGATCGGGTTCAGGTTTAAATAATGTAATTTGTAGGTTATATCGGTTTAGATTATATTGAACCAAAACCGACCGTATCCGACCGATGATCACCCCTAATTGTCATAAAGGTTTCAAGAGGAGGAGGAAGAGGAAATCAGTGTAAATCTCTAACTTTACCTCGACTTGGGAAGCTATTGTTACACGTAAATATCCTAGGGTCAAAAACCCTAGTTAGAGTACCCTTTTCCGATCATCACCTATCCCATTTAATTCTCGTCGATTCATTGGTTTACTAACCTAGGTGTGTCAAGGCTTTTACCGAAACTTCATTCGAGATACCCATGAAATCGATTAACCCACACTTTCTGTGTCTGGACCTTATTTATCAAATACTATGTATGCAATGTTCTAACAAAGTAGAACGTGAACTAATTAACTTTTTGCATTTTACGTCACACCCTAAACCATTTATAAACGGTATCATCCTTAGGTACATGGACATGCTCCTTGCTTTACAATAGTTTTAATTTGTTGAAATACACAATGACTTTCATGTTAGAGTATTTGCAAGTGGTTACTGCTATCTTCTCTCTTATATTAGTATGGCTTCGTTGGGATCTCCAATATTATCTACTCCAAGTTCACCACGTAAACACATAATAATATTATAAAATTTAAAAGCAATTAAAAATAATACAGTTTTAAATTCAACCACGGGAGACACAATTTTTTTTTTTGTTTAATAAGAAAGTATAACAACTTTCCGTTGATTGGTCTATATGAAAGTAAAATGATATATAGTTTCAATTGCAATTTCATGCTTAATACTAAAAGGTCTCTATGATTAAAGAACATAAATATCACAACATATAACATATACGAAGTATAAGAATAGTCATACACACAATTCATATAATAATTAAATTGTATACATTTTCATCAAGTCTTCCCATTCAATATTAATAAATAAATAAAAGTTAACATATTACATTCCATTTATCACCATCATTCCATCAATCACAATACATCATATTCATCAATTAAAATTCATGAAATGTATGCTCCTAACTCTATATGTATATAAGTATCAAGTTCCTCATCATCAGAGTATAAAAAATAACCTAAGAGTAATATATAGAACGGGATCACTCCCTCAAATAAGGTAGGGACCACTCCACAGCAATGATCTCTTAAACCACCTCACTAGGAGATGTCTATAAGGGTACCGTCAAAGTGTTACAGTTGACCATGGTAGCCTCACATTCCTGATAGATGTTTCCCCATCATAACATCTTTGAGATACAAGTAGATGATCTGTGATATCCCACTTGCATAGATTCACACTATCCTGCGAAGGAGGAGGAGGAGCTCGCGCCTCCCTTGCTACCGCGCGAACAAAGTCGCGCTTCCGCTGCTACCGCACGAACGAAGTCGCGCTTCCATTGACATCGCTTGAGGAGCCCACGCCTCCGCACTGCCACCACGCGAAGGAGGTTGCGCCTCTGCTGCTACTGCACGAAGGAGGTCACACCTCCGTTGCCATCATCGTAAAAGGAGACGACACCTCCGCTGCCACCGTGCCTCCGTCGCCACCGCACCTCCACAGTTCCTCCGTATATAATATAAGGACTATTTTACAATTTTAAACAAATTAAAAAATTTGATATTACCAGTAATTTTGGTACCTCATAAATGACCTTTAACCTATAATACTTCATGTTAGAAGGCCACACTCTATTACATGGAACACCATAGCACTAACCACAAATGAACTTTTTTTCCCCTCTCTCTATATATCCACACTTCTCCCAACAAGGAAATGAACTCAGGTTTGTACCTGCTAACCGAAACCATTTTAAAATGAGGGATTTCCCTTCATTGAATTCGAAATTATGAAGCATGGATTTAGGTGTGATTTGAAAACGATTTGATTGAAATAACATATTTTTAATCTCTTTCCTTTTTATTAAATCATATCATGTTTGTACCTGCTAAACCAAATCATTTGAAAATAAGGGGTTTCTCTTCATTGAATTTGAAATTATAACAGTAATGATACATTTTCTGATTTAATATTCGAAATATGATTTAAAATATTAAAATATTTATTTTATAATAAATTTATTATAAAATAATTATTTAATTTAATATTTTTATAATTTAAATTAATATTTTATATATTAACAAGATTTTTAAATAGTCCTTTCCAACGGTCTAACATTTTTCAATTATGAAACATGAATAGACACATGAGACCTATTTTTCAATTATGAAATATGAATAGACACATGAGACCTATAATCCTAAAGAAAAATGCTGGACACTTCACTAATCATAGTTTATCTTTAGGTGTGATTTGATTGAAATTAAACATTTTTTTTAATCTCTTTCTTATCAAATCATATCATGTTCATATATCATTATTGTTTTTAAAAAAAAATATTTTTATAAAGATCATATGTATATCATGGAAAGGAAATGACCAAAATATATATATATATATATAATATAATATAAATAAAGAGTATATATATTACAAAAATTGAATTTATGTATTTTACCACAATATTTGAGTTTATGTATTTTTTTTTATCATATATGATAGTCTATAGTTGGATGATTATATGAAAAAATATATTATTCATAAATTGTGATTAGATTCTATTTTAAATGTTTCCTTTTAAGTTATTTGAAAAATAATACTTTTTAATCTAACATTACGCAAGTAAAATAATATTTAAAAAAAAAACCTTAATTATATGTTTGTGACTGATTTGTGTCTGTAATGTACTATGTATGTACAAGATATGATTTTTTATAATACACAATATTTACTCAAAGAAATTTCTATCTCGTGAAGGAAAATAAAAATAAAAATAAAAGGGCAATGATTAGCATACTGATACGTGGATCCTCAAGAACCTACAATTTTTTATTTTTTATTTTTTATTTTTACCTTTTAAGTAGAAGTTGAAACTGCATTAATTCCATTTAGTGCCGTGTTCCTCATGTCTCTGGTGACAAGTCACCTATTCGGTATTCAGATAATTAAGGCGTTGAGTTATGAAAGGTACATACGGTAGGATGAGTAATGATGATCCGCTGTATTGCTTATACTAGACGGTACATTTATTAGCGCAGAATAATTACTAATTTAAAATTATTTATTTACATATATGAAAATATGTATATAAAGATAAAGTAATTACACAAATATACATAAATATAATATTTTAATAAAAGTAAATCATATAATTTAAGTTGTCGTTTAAGTAATTCTTATATATAATCATTAGATCATCTTTACTACACAATATCTTAGTCTATTCTTATTCTACTATGATATTAAGTATAATTATTATAGTCTAAATTAGGAATGATAATGAGACCTTATGAGGGTGGGTAATAGTAAATCTGCTCCTACCCTGCTGGATGAAAATTGGTTTCATACTCATCCCATATCCGCGCGAGTATCCATTAAGCGGGTATCCATGAATTTCTTGAATATCTACGGATATCCATGGATATCCGTAGATATTCAAGAAATTCATGGATACCCGCTTAATGGATACCCGCGCGGGTATCCATTAAGCGGGTATCCATGAATTTCTTGAATATCTACGGATATCCATGGATATCCGTAGATATTCAAGAAATTCATGGATACCCGCTTAATGGATACCCGCGCGGGTATCCATTAAGCGGGTATCCATGAATTTCTTGAATATCTACGGATATCCATGGATATCCGTAGATATTCAAGAAATTCATGGATACCCGCTTAATGGATACCCGCGCGGGTATCCATTAAGCGGGTATCCATGAATTTCTTGAATATCTACGGATATCCATGGATATCCGTAGATATTCAAGAAATTCATGGATACCCGCTTAATGGATACCCGCGCGGGTATCCATTA